GGGGGGGTGGGTATATTCCTTTAAATCCATTGTGAACATCTGCTCATGGCAGATCTGCAGCTCTCCACAGCAGTGTCACAGGCTGCCTGAGTAACCCTAGCAGAGAACATTTGCAGTAGATGAGATGAGCTCCAGTGTTGCTTTTTATGCATTATCCATTAAAATGTCAAAAAGGAAACAGTTCATAATACCCCTTTCCTTTTTTTCCACAACCAAAATGTCAGGCACTTAAAACAAACCACTTTCAAACAATGAGAGTGTTTAAATATACAACACAAAAATCAGTTCATTATATAAAATGTCTGCTTTTTATGTCAAAACATGAACAGTCATGAGAACAAGCTCTGCTGTTATTGAATAAAGTGCCAGAACACTGGGAAAGAACACAGTTCAAGGTGGTTACAAGACCTTGACAGGTCATTGAGCATAACTGGTGTACGATTATGCATGTAAAAGCATTCAGTAACTCACTACACCTGACACATCAGTCACATAACATGGAAGGCATCGTAACTGCAAAGGTTTAGCGCCACTCCTCGATTATTATGGCAAGAATAAAAGCTACACACTCCGCACAAGACTGATGAATAAATTCACAACCCACTCAAACCTAATTCCCATTCTGTTTTTCCAAATAACAATCTTTTTTTTTTTTTCAAATTATATGATTTTGTTAACGTTTGTGAAAATAAAGATGCCTGAATGGTTTAATTAACTGTAAGCGGCTTGCTTACTACTGCATTGCAAAAGATACAAATAATTATTACTAAATTATTAAATTAATTGTAAAACATCATGTAGATGACCACAAAACAATTTGCTTGCTGTAGCACTAAAAATTTACGTTTAATAGAAATGATGCCACATCTCACGAATTGAATACATCTGAACTTTACAATTAAACTAGTGACTTAAATTTTATTAGACTAGATCAAATTCATAATCTAATCATTGCCTGAAGAAAAAGTGTGAACAAATTCTTGCTTTATAATAAAAAAATTAGGGTAGTGTGTTCCACTGTTTCCAAGGCATTCTATGGAAAAATATACATATGCATATATATATACTAAGCACTATACAAATAAATTTGACTTGATACATATATAGCTACTGTATTTATATCTGTCAACTTATGCACAAGACCAAATATAACCCTGCTTATCATCTTTACAAGCCCACTATACACGTCCTTCTCCCCTCCGGAAATCCCTGCTGTGCTACATCTGGCAGGTGAAACTGCCCTCCAGATACCTGGAACCAGTGCTTGAAGTGGGCCGGTACGCACCGGTACGCAGTACCGGCACTTCTATATTTTAGTCTTTAGAGCACCGGCACTTTTTCGTGCATACCGGCATCTCTGTCATTGCCGGTACTGAGTCAAAGCGTCAGTGTCTGGGTGATTAGAAATGACACTATAAATCACACTACCCAGAGGACATTTGAAACCGGTAAACTTCTGGAAAGTTCAAGGATCCAGTAAGGGAATGCATTAGTAAAGTAATAAGTTCAAAGCAGCGCTAATGCAGAGAAAAAATTCATCAGAGATAGCGGAGAGAATAGTGACTCGGGTCCAGATGGCAGTAAATTATTATTTTCAGCGAGTATTTGGCTTAAAAGCACGAGTGTTTTATAATGAATACTGGCTGAAGGTGTTTTAAATTATGCTGGTCAGGGATTTAGTTATTCTGAATGAATCCGTATAGTAGCATGTACAGTCTGGTTAAGGCAGCAGGTTTAGTGGTCTTTTGGCATCTCCTTGTGGTCCTGTTTGGTATCGTAGCTTAACTGGTGCTTATCTATATTAAAAATGCTCTAAACTATTTTCTATCTTTCTTTCTTTCTTTCGGCATTACATTGGGAATTATAAATATTTATGTATTTGTTCATTTATTTGTGACCTGTGCTGGCAAAATTAGTCATTTTTAATAATAATTATATTAATAATCACAATACAGCTATTTTTATTTTGTCTTCTTTGTTATTATAACTAAGAACAGATGCAAAAAAACAGTAGAACAAATATAAGAAAATAAAATGCATTACCTTTCTCATTTTACATCTAAACAAAAGCATTCAAGAAATACAAATAATCAAATATAAAAATCCCTTTAGTCTGTTAATTACAAATAAATTGATTATAAAAACTACAAAAGCAGTTCAATGAAGAGCATCAAGTAATTCCCTATTTTCTTTTATTGTTAGATTAACTTTAATAAGGCGGCCTATATTAAGACCTACTGTAATGCACGGATCTAATATAATGTTACAAATCAGATGTTTTTCCCCAACAGTTCCCCAAATGCTCACTTAAGACATAACAGATTATGTTTGCGTGAATATTGTAATTGTGTGTAGGCCTAAATGTGTTTATTTATCGGCATCGCGCG